CCATATGGGTAATAATCGACCGACTAACGAAATCTGCCCATTTCCTGCCAATTAAAGAATCGTACAAGATGGAGAGATTGACGCGTTTATACATTCGAGAGATCGTGAGACTCCACGGAATACCAACATCTATCATCTCGGATAGGGACAGTAGGTTCACGTCCCGATTTTGGCAATCACTCCATAAGGCGATGGGAACAAACCTCGATATGAGCACCGCTTATCATCCACAAACGGATGGTCAAAGCGAGCGAACCATCCAAACGCTCGAAGATATGCTCCGCGCATGCGTGATAGACTTTGGAAAGTCTTGGGATACCCACCTACCCTTAATCGAGTTCTCATACAACAATAGTTACCATTCGAGCATCAAGGTGGCTCCTTTCGAAGCACTGTACGGGCGTAAATGTAGATCACCATTATGTTGGGCTGAAGTGGGTGACACCCAGCTGGCAAGAACGCATGCGTCGGACAAAACACTAACGGGACCGGAGATCATCCGTGAAACCACGGAAAAGATCGTTCAAATCAGAGCTCGATTGCAAGCATCGCGTGACCGACAAAAGAGCTACGCTGACAAACGGCGAAAGCCCTTAGAATTTCAGGTCGGTGACCGAGTACTGTTAAAAGTCTCGCCCTGGAAAGGGGTTATACGTTTCGGAAAACGGGGAAAGCTGAACCCGCGATACATTGGACCTTTCGAAATCGTCGCTCGGATTGGTCCAGTAGCATACAGACTGCAACTACCCGCAGAGCTAAACGGTGTACACCCCGTGTTTCACGTCTCTAATCTGAAGAAGTGTCTCTCAGATGAAACACTCGTCATTCCCCTTGACGAAATCAAAATCAATGAGAATCTCCTGTTCGTTGAAGAACCAATCGAAATCATGGACAGGGAGGTGAAGCGTACTAAGCAGAGTCGCATCCCGATCGTGAAAGTACGGTGGAACGCAAAGCGTGGGCCAGAATTCACTTGGGAACGCGAAGACCAAATGAAGCAAAAGTACCCTCACCTATTCTAGCTTTCTCAAATCTAGCTTTCAAACAGAATTTCGGGACGAAATTCCCTCTAACGGGGGGATGATGTCACAACTAGAAATTTTATGTCTTGTAATCACTATACTCAAGTAAATGTTGAAATCAAAAACTCAAAAGCATGTATGATGCTTACTCAATGGAAAACTAAACCCCAATTCACTACATCAAGCAATTGGAAAACCCTAGAAGTTCTTGTTAAGTCCATTTTGGACTAGAACTTCCTTATTGGATCCAAATGGACCAATAAGCTTCCAATTGGACTATCATGGGTTTAGAACCCTAATTGGGCTCTAATTGGACCCACATTCATTTATTTCAATATTATGGGCCATATTGGGCCTAGAATGAAATAAATTGAAAGCTTTGATCCATGATTAACCCAATCTAGCTTATTAAAACATAAAAATCACAATTTTATTTTATAAGGCCAATAAATACCTAAGACTAACTCTAATATTGGGCTTAGGAGCAAAAAGCCCAAATTTTTCCTTCCTCCTTCCATGTTCTCGGCCCAAAGCAAGCCCAAGAGAAGGGTTTGACTTTCTCATGCCACATCACTTTTATCTTTTGGACTTCCATGCAAGAGACTCATGTCTCCATGCAAACCTCACCTCAAACATCATTTCTTCTTCCTCTCTCTCTCACTCTCGGCCGAGCAACACCCACACACACACACATCTCTCACAAACACTCTCTAGATCACTCAAGGCTTCTTTCTTCTTCTCCATCCAAAATCTCGAGATTTAGGGAGCATTCAAGGAAGTTCTTCCACAAAAATCATCATCTAAGGTAAGGTTTTGCTTGGATCTATGACTTGTATTCCTTGTTTTATCAAAATCCCTTCCTAATCCATGCAAAAATCGTGATCTTGCACTCTAGAAAACTCCATAAACTCGAAAACTTCATCAAGGAGTGCAAAGGCCAAAAATCACTTCATTTCTTCCATTCTTTCTTCAAAAACCGAATCAACACCCAAGGTGAGTTTCATACCCCCTTATTTTCAGTTTTCATAAGTTTTTGTGGGGGAGAATACAAGCAAAGGTGTAGATCCATCATTATGTGTATGTTGTGGTTGATTTCTATGCTTATATGTATGTTTTGTATGATTTTGATGCTAGATCTAGTTATGAAATGCTAAAAACCGAGATATGTATTTTATTATAGCATAAAATATACTACTACATGCAAAGTATACTAAGAAAAATAGCCAAATGGCTTGACAACACTTAATTTGGGCTAAAAACTCATTTTTTTGACATAAAATGTTGAAAATACAAAGTTGAAGGGCCTAAAATGAATTATTTCGAAATCTGATGGGTGAGATGAGTCAAAACAGTTTACATAATGTATTTTCTGAAAATATACTATTTGGAGGGTTAAAAACATAAATTCCAAGCTTAATGGGCTAAAGATGACATTTTCGGCCCAATGAGGCCCAATATGCGAAATTTTCTGTTTTGGAGGGCCAAAACTGCATTTTTCTGTAAAACAGTGGACTATAAGTGATCCAAGTCCTTTTCAAAGGTTTAGAATGCTTTTTAAATTTAAAGGGGACTAAAGTTGCAAAAAATTTTCAATTTGGGCCAAAATTGTCAAACTTGCGAAAAGATGGGTTATAACCGAGAAAACTGAAATTTCAAGGACTTAAACTGTCTTCAATGAAAAATATGCTGAAAAATATTAATTTCAATAATTTTTGGTATTAAAATGTCAAGAAAATCGATTTAAGGACCAAACCGGAAAGTTTTAAATAAAGGATTGAAAAAGTAAATTTTTACAAATAATGAGGGGCTGAAAACAGAAAAATTCTCAAGACTAGTTCAATACATGCAATTTGATCAAATGATGGTACCACGACTATCGACGAAATACAATACATTACAACACCAAAAGTCGTTGTCAAACGAATTGGTTCGGTCTCGAACCAATAAAAATCCGAAACTACTAACACGACGACACTATGACATTACGACATTACGATTCATAACTAATAACGATTGGGAAGTCACTATACATGCGAGTGTGCACAGACGTCTACGCACCACCTTTGGGCCCCAAAAGTGTAAAATCTTGTTTGTTGAGCCTAGCTAGCCCAATGACCTGATCTTAAGGCCCGAAGACCTCTCTCTCTTACGAAGTGTTGGGTTTTACCGATCCGACATAACGTAAAAGGACTTTCAATGGCAAACATGCTGCTGGTCCCCAAGGGTCCTTCAGTGCTGCTAGTAAAGTCGGGAACTCACGATTGCGGGATTGGGCTTCAGGCCCTTCGCAATTGCAATAGTCTTGAACGACGCGGGGAAATACCGAGGGTTTCGCACCTTCTCTCCTTCCCTCCGGTCGTGGGACTACACAAGTCCGGGAGGATTGAGTTGTGTGAATAATTACGAGTGACGCCTAAGGGATCGCTTGTAAGGTTGTCGATGGGACGTTTTCATTAACGCACGTCACAACACTTCACCACCCACTGTACTCGCAATGCCTCCGGAGCTCAACGATTACCTCTAACGCAACGAAACAACAGTATACAAACTAAGTAAAGCAAAGTGATAGGAAAACGTCGGGTTTTCCTAGGGTTTTCAACAAGTACAATTATGAATTACCGGTCGAATTTCACAACTCTTACGCTTACATCTATAGAATTCAAACAAGCATACTCATGGATCTTCGCATATTTTTACACTATTCTATTTTTAGAAAATATCGGATTTTCTGATGGTTTTCAAACAATACATTGGATTTCAAACACTACTTATGAACTCATATGTTGACGTTTTTCAAAATACTTGTATTCTCAGGTAACAGATAAGGTGAAGGATGATTTGTACTCTATGACGTTTTGCTGTGGTTTAAGTAGTATCAAACAGTTATTTTTTTTTTTTTTTGAGAATGTAATGTTTTGAACAATGCAATGAATGTAAACGCTACCAGTTGTATCATTCCAAATGTTGGTGATGTATAATGTTATGTTTCATGTATATGCATTGTGATGGTATTCAATGAGTCATGATAGCCCTCGGACGTTTCCGCCGTCCGGTTCGGGGGGTGTGACAGTTATTTTACAACTATTTTTACAAAGAGATTTTTCATAGAGTTATAAATTGAACCAATCTCCGTGGATTCGACCCCTTCACCACTATACACTATTTTAGTGTGTAATATTTAGGGTATTAATTTTGTTGGTCTCGACAACCACCAACAACCGATTAATCCAACATTCCATCTCTAGCTTCCTTTGTTTTCCACGTCAGCTACTAGTCAACAATCTTCCATCCTAGAAAGATGTCCAAGTCCTAAAGCAAAATAGAATAACCTTCACTGGCACAAAATCAGAAGGGTAAGGCGGTGAATTTTTCTAACAAAATCAGGCAAAGAAATGTGGAAATTTTTTCTAATAAAATCAGACATGTAAAAGTGGAATTTTTTTTATTTTTTTGTAACAAAATGACATCTTATAAAATAACCATTCAGTAAGTACATTGTATGACTCTGATTTTAACAACTTGACATAACAATACATGATTTTGTTTTAGAAAAATAAAAAAAAGCTTTTGACAGATTTTGCGCATGGTTAGAATTTCGCAAACACTAAAAATCACTTATTAACTTATTATTACGTTTGATTTTGGTACCGAATAGAATAATCCAAACACCGTTGGATAAGTTAATAAACACTTTAACAAAAATTACAGGTTGTTTAAAGTAAGCAATCCCAAACACCCCCTTAATTAATTTGATAACGATTTGTTTCATGATCTTCACTTTATGTTTCAATTGATGATTGATATCTATTAATTCCAAGTTATTCCTATCATTTTGTATATTAAGATGAACAACTTCCTCTTAATATCTGCTTCGGCCTCTAAGAGCTAGAAGGTCCCTTAGAATGCCTAACTTCGAAAAATGTTTTTGTCCTAAATATTACAAAGATGCTAATGAAATACTCAAGTGCTCTTGAGATTTCATGAGAAATTGATGACACAAAATGCAGCCTTCCTTTCAATTTTCTCCAATTCCTTCCTGACCTCTATTTTCCTCTTCAGATCACGTAGATAAGTCTTGGACCACCAAATATCCATCATCTCCAAAGCACATGCAGTCTTCAAAATACGCTTGAGAAAACATATTTCTGAATTATAACCATGAAAGTTCTTCAAGGTCACAATCTTGAGGCAATTCGTTATACATATAGGTATCAATGACCAAGTTGAATTGTTCTCACCAAGGTGCATGTCGCACATGAATCCCTGTACAACATTTTTAGAAAACCTTTCATTAATATCATGATCACTGGAACAATATTTTAAAATTTTGAGAATAGAGTAATCCACCTCTGAGAAACAAATAGATTGTAGAACTGGACAGAAGGAAAGCAAATGCATCAATACTCTAAATGTATGGTTCATCCCGATTTTCACAGTTAGCATTAAATGGGTCAAATTTGTGAACACCGGAAAACTAATACAAGCTGCAAATGAAAGAGTCTTCGCATGGGAAAGAAAACACACAAAAACAAAAGTTAGTTTGTCAAGTTTGTCATAAAGAGGCGAATTCCGATATATATATATATATATATATATATATATATATATATATATATATATATATATATATATATATATATATATATATATATATATATATATATATATTCTATTGAATACGTTTGCGAATTACCTCCATAGTGTGATTAGATAACGTCAAAGACACGACATATTTTAGTTGTTGAAATAGATCAATAGCTCGACATGCGACTTCATTTACCCCTTCTCCGGGACTAGGCAACTTAATGAATGCTTTGTCCAGAGACATTGTATCATTGAAGGTAATCTCGTTTAATAGGTTTCCAAAATATTCAAAATATGTAATATTTGCTGCATCGATCTTGATCTTACAGCCACTAGTAGGATGATTGAATACCACAAAGTGTGTCAGATCACGTATGCTCAAGCTCTTTAATGTGGAACTAGAAATTGCAATGTTCTTCAAGTTAATCCACCTGCAATCTGATAAAGCCAGTTCTTCTAGAGCTGGGCAGCCTGAAAAAAGCTTTTCTGTAAAATCATCATTCAGGAATCTAACAAAGGACAGGTGTAAGGTTTTCAGGCATGGAAAAGAAACGTGAGATGGGAGTTGAATAGCACAGTTCATTCTTATTTTCAGGCTAACCAATGATGTGTTATGAAACATAGACTGAGGAATCACAGATGGATCCTTTGCAAAGAGAGACATATCAAGATCCTGAACATTGTGCATGATTGCATCAGAAATCCATGAGCTTATTTGAAATGCATTACGATATACACAACATGATAGACGAAACTTCTCCATATTTGATTCGTCATGTAATCGTAAGACTCTTTCTACAAAGTTCACAAAGGAAGTCACATCAGGCCGATGCCATCCATCAGCCAATTTAGCCATCAATAATTCATCATCAAAATCAACGTTGGGAACAGAAACCCAGAGGTTCTTCCATCTTGTAGATAGTATGGACGTCTTTACAGCTTCTTTTGTGGGCATAAAAGACAGAATTTGATGAAGAATATAATCTGGTAGATTGCTGATATGATCCAGATCGACTATATCACCTATATCTTCAATTTCATGTTGCTTGTGACCTCTGTATTCACTCATGGTTAGCCTCTTTGATTTCCTAAACACAGCCTACAAGCAAAATGTCAAGTTTAGCTTCTTCATAATCAACTAAACTGAAAAACATTCAAGAAAGAAACAACGTATATAACTAGATCATAACGGCTGTATGAAACAGGAACTAAGCTGAACCATAGGCCATATCCATTACCTTAAACCAGGAACGTTTCATCACATAAATGGTCAAACTAGGCACTTGTAAGACCCAAAATCGAAAAAGGTTAAGTTCAATTTAAAGGAAATTAACTGAAGAAGTGTAGTCTTTGAGTTATGCTTTAATGACAAGCTTCTTATTTATGGATCGTGGATGACAATTATAATTCCTAGATACAACTAAAACTTATATATAAGCCCTGAAACTGTTGATCGGTAAAAGTGATTGATATGCTAAATAACTGGTGAGACTAAATCAACAGTATTGACTGTTTATCGAAGAATGAGGAAGAGTTATGGCGTAGGTATTGGCATGGCGGTTAAAACTTGAATGTGTGAATTTTGAGGGAGAAATTGTCTCTTAATTCCCAAAATTAATGCAAAAACATTTAGAGTTATATTTAGAATAAATCATTGAAATCCACCATCAGATTTAGTTCAATCTACATGATTCTTTACAACTCAGAAATTTTTACGTATATGTGATAAAATGATCAACCATAAGTACACAATTTCTGTAAATTACTATATATTTTGTTCCCCATTCTACGTATATTGTAAAACTTTCTCTTAATATAGGAATATACTTTTTTTTTTTTTTTTCTTTTTTATATCTAACGTTATGTCCCTAGTAGTAAAAAAATTGAAAGAAAAGGGAAACTAACAGTGTCCCTAGATTTTTTTGGAAAGCAAAAGATGAAAATTATGTTAAATGATATTTTAATTTCTGTTAAATTAAATATGTGTGGTTGACTGCAAGTTAACTTAAGGTGGTGCGTTTTTATTTTAACATTTTTCAATTTAATGATTGATGAACCTAGTAATAGCCTTTCATAACTGGTCTAGAGTACAAAAATGATAATCTATAAAAGAGGTTAATAATATAAGAGTGTAACGGAGTTAAACATAGATATTATACATTCCTTGCTTCATGAACATGAACATCAACATCCCATCTCTAGCATCCTTTCCTTTCCACGTCAGCCATTGGTCAACCATCTTCCATCCTATAAAGATATCCAAATCCTAAAGCAAAATGCCAAAGTAGTACAACCTCACATGCACAAAATCAAACAAGGTAAGGCGGTGCATTTTTCTTATAAAAACGAAACATGCTGAAAATGAAGCTATGCCCTTTTACATCGGAAAATCATAAAAAGAAAAAAAAAAAAAAAAATCATTGCAAGTCTCAAGCAAAAGAAAGGCGTTAGATTCCAATGCAACTTAAAGATTATAACATATTCAGACTATGCATTCTCTATCCATGTGATGTAAGACAGATTGTTACCACTATCCATATATGATGATATGATGATTTGTTACATTACATTGTGTATTGTACAGTACACCGAGCATTTTCAAATCATTAAACACAAATGAAATTACAAAGTTACCCTTTTTCTTTTTTCTTTGAACCCTTAATAGTACAAAATTAAAGAGTCTCGGATGACACAAAGGAAGAGACAGAAGAGACACAAGGGAACCAATATCGTCTTTTGCCATCTCTATGGCCATCATCAATCATCGCAAGCCCCTCCTACACATAAATTTAGTAAAACCTCACATGAGATAAATACATATTATTATTATTACTATTATTATTACAAATTTATAATTATAATTATAATAATGAAAATAAGCACTCACATCCAATAAAGTTTCAAGAGCATCAGTGGCACGACCAGTGGACCATGATAAACGTCTCTCTACTTCTTCAACTGTCACAAAACCTTGAGCCTAAAAAAGCATCAAATCATATATTTTTATCAGGAAGAACGACTTAATATATAAAGTAAAGGAAATAACTAATAAGGCTTTCCCGATAAAGTCCTAACTGTTTAAAATTTGCCTTAAACATTTTCCTTTCATTTCCCAAATGTAGTCTTGTATATGTATATGTCATTTCTCAAGGGTAAAATGGTCAATTAGAAGTAATAAAGCGAACCTGGGACAACTCTAGAATTTCATTGTGATCTTTCTTTAATTCAGTTGGGACAGAACGAACAAGCTTTCTTTTTCCAACAGTAATCACTTCAAATCCACTCCCTAATACCTGAAATAATAGTGCTAACAACCATCAATTAAGGTAACAAGCTTAGGAGAATAACAACATTTTAAATCTTGTTTATAATGTCATTTCTAAATAGAAGGGTAAACTGGTCATTTACACATATTTAAATAGTTTTTATTAGTTAAGAAAAGAAACAGTATTTATGTACACAACACTTTTTCTCCGCACACAACAATTTGTGCTTTAAAGTGTTGTATTGTACAACTTTATAATGCATAAATTGTTGTGTACGGCAAAAAATTGTTGTGTACGAATCACTTCCCTTTATGAAAACATACATCAACATGCCCTAAATCTGGTAAAGCTATAGTCATAATAGGCTACTGATCACAAAGATCATAAAAGTAGATCATATAAAATGAACATTTATTAACACAATTTTATAAAACAAATAAAGAAACATTACCTTAAGTTTACTAATCGCACGTAAGCAATCGTCTTCAGTCACTGCCTCACGAGCACCCTTTCGCCTCTGACTTAAAATCTTGCAGAGTTCCTCCAAGTTGATTAAACCACCATTATGGGGTCTTGTAGCCAAGCATATATCCACAATTTGTACCCCTGATAAAACCATATAAGATGTTATTTTCTATTTGCTTGATTGGGACATACCTTAATCTGGTAATCTATATATGAGTGTTTCTATGTGACTTAATGCAGAAATAACAACTTAACAGAAAAAGTCAGGGAAATAAGGCTTTAAAATCATTTATCAAGACAACACTTAATATGGAAAAGACTTAATTGCATAAGTAAAGATATAAACATCAATGGTGTCATTTTAAAGCAAAACATATGAGCTAAAAGCAGACACCTACCAAGTTCATAATAGAAATCACCAATCCCTAAGAGCTCAGCCCAGAAACCTTTATTTGATGCTAATGGGTCTACTCCTACTTTTGCACACATCTCATGGAATTGTGATCTGAAAACAGGGTTCTTGCGAATGTCATTCTGCACTTAGCATAAGAGAGTATGAACTATCAGAATAAAAAATTTCTTGAAAATGCAATCTGACCAAATATAAATAAGCGATTAGATGATTTAGAAAATGTAGGGAAAAAGTAGATAATCGATTGAGAACCTTGTGTTTGCGAGCAAAGTCTTCTAATTGAGAACGAAAAGTGGAAAGCTGCTCTTTCATAAGATCGGTTCTTAACTTGGCTACATTTTCTCCGAGTAATCGATATTGATCCTGATGCATCGTTTTAAAGAAGAAAGTATAATAAAATTATACATCAATTCGAATTTGTATGCAAGTATGAAATAAGGGAAATTGATACGAACCCTAGCAGCGGCAGCAGTCTGTAAACCACCGATTCCTGGTCTCCGTCTCATGGTTCAATAGCACGATGAATCTACAATCTCCGATAAATCTTCGATTATGCTTTTAATTGCTTTTTAGAGATTTTTGTTAGTGGATGAAGGCGTTCACAGATTCACCGGCTAGCATTCAGTGGACAGCTGTTTCATACTTTCATTCGCTCTTTGTTTTTTGTTGAACAAGGATTATTAAAATACAGTTACCACCAATTATCAACAATCAGAGTGGCGCAGCGGAAGCGTGGTGGGCCCATAACCCACAGGTCCCAGGATCGAAACCTGGCTCTGATAACTAGAGAAGCTTCTGCAAAGTTTTTTTATTAATTTTAAAAAAGTGAAATATTACGTATGATTTTGCAGTTCAAAATTTTCAAGCTTCTGCACACTTATTTTTATTTTTGCACTAAATTTACAAAGTTTACCATTGAACGACTCAAAATAATAAAATATTAACCAAGATGATTTTAACATTTTTTTAAATTAAAAAAAATGAATATTACGTATCATTTTGCAGTTCAAAATTTTCAGTTGATAATAATATGGTATTAAACATTTGATTTCGTTTATTGTTACTATGTTATTCAATTTTTAATCTACTAACCTGATTGAAAACTTAAGTTGCTATTCTACACCACACATGTTGGTAAAAATTATCCATATTGCTCTAATGGCATCCAAATAGTCTTATTATGTAAAAATTATAGTCATTAGTTTTATTATTTTAATTGGATAACTGATTATTTATATATTTGGTTGTTCACCACTTCCACCACCATAGTAAAATAGAATAAAAAAATAAAAAACTCTAAAGAAAATTCGAATCAATCAAACATCCAAAACTAAACACTAAATGTTCAAACCCTAAAACATAATTTTGTGCTTTCATTCAAATCAATCAAACATCCAAAACTAAACACTAAATATTCAAACACTAAAACATAATTTTCTGCTTTCTAGAACGCTCAAAAACCCCTTGATCATTCGGTGGGTTGTCGATGTTTTGCTAGGTTTTTTTTTTTTTTTTTTTTTTGCAACTGCTTATTATGCTATTGTTGATGTGGATATCATGTAGATATGTCGGTTGACTAGGTAATGTTTTGGTTTGTCAACTACTTAGTCAACTTTTCAGTCCTATGGTTAAAGAAAACACAAAGACAAATAAACCAAAAAGTTAAAATTAAAAGGCACAAAATTGCAATACATTTCCAAATCCCAAGATTAAACAACAAAACTAGCTAATCCAATTGAATTGTGTTGCAAATATATAAAATTATTATCTTCATCCTTATACATCAACAAGTTAGTCAAAAATATGCATTAATTTTTCATATCTTGTTCTCATTTCTTAATAGTTTTGAAGGTAAGATGAATATGGGAAAAAGGTGAGAAAATCAAAATGTTTCTTAATACATCTCTGTATAAACCACCAAAAAGCAAGAATAAGAACACGAAAATGCGAAAGCATTCTCAACATAATTTTTGCAATGGCATAAACTTTATAAAAGAAACTAGTTAATAGGAAGAAATGGTTAAGAAAACCAATTTCATTAACCATCGGTAAAAAAAATTAAAAAAATCCACCTAATACAGCTATAACCATACATTTCACAATGATGTAGCCACTAGAAAATGCATTTTTGTCTACATACAACGTCATTTTTATGTTTCGAAATCCCCACTGTGAAATGAGGGTTAAAGAGCATGAAATAAGGACTTGTGAAATGAGGGTTAAAGAGCATGAAATAACCAAAGTTTAACAAAAGATAAAGGAAGAAGAGAAATGAAAGGAAAATAATTTTTTTGTGTTCCCAAACTGAGGAGAAATAGAACAAAAATTAATAATGTTGTTATTTCTTTCCAAATCCTTCCAAATCGGAAGAAAAACGATCATTCAATTTCCCTCCACTTCCTTCTTTTAATGAAACTCAAGAACATCATTTTTTTATTTATTTATTTTCTTCAATTTCCCTCCACCCCATTTCATTTTTTCTCTTGTTAAGTTAAATTCAAGAACAGGGTGCAAGTGATCGTTTTCTCAGATACCATGTCCTTTTTCTAGTACTGCAAAATTTGATCCGTGTAATATGATGTTTGTCTTCTTATTGTTATATTGTTAACATTTTTCCAAAAATCATGATTTTTTTTTATCAAGAACAAACATTTTAGTGAAATTATTATGCTAACAGATCTTCCAAAGTCCCATTTTCACAAGGAAAAAAAGAGCCATAGTCTGCAAAAACGAAATATTAGATTGAGAGTAGACATAGAAAAGTTGATGTGTTATGTCATAATCAAGCTGAAAAACTTCACCCTAAAATTACACATTTATTTTCTGTGGCGTCGTGTCAACCCAATCATTTCATATCGAATTCCCATAGGGTTTAGGGTTTAATCTTGTAAATTTGTTGTGTCAGGTCAGATTGAAACCAAATGAATTTAAAAAATAAAAATAAAAATAAAGAACTGGAAGGCTGAATGACGAAATACACATTAGGTCTAGAGAACAGCATAGAGAAGTATGAGTTTAGTGTTCCTTTAAGCTGTGTTTCTTTAATTACTTCAATAGGTTTTTTGTTGTTAAATGCAAAAAACATACAAGATCTATTTTATCATTTATTGGTCTATCTTCAGCTTCTATGGCTTGGTTGTAAACACGAACAGAAACCCTAAGAGATGAAAAAGAACACAAAGATGGGTTTATTTTTACTTTAATAACGACATAAATGACCACTGAGGCTGGAGGGAGTGAAAGTCGCGCTCCATTTTGACACATTGCAACATTTGTAGTTTCAACAAGCTTTCATAGTTAATAGGTTTCACCAACAACTCCAACACTGTTCTAATTTATGTATTAGTCAAAGAATGTGATAAATCAAGATGTGAATTACCAAATCTAACTTGCAATTATCATAGAGCCATGGCGTAGTATTACTAATGGAAGAAATCAATCACAAAAGCAAGAAACATCTTCATGAGAAAGCATGAACATAAAGCTTTACTTACACGTATGCGTGCCATTGATGAAACTTCAAAAGTTCAAATCTTTTTCAAGCTCAAGAGCCCTGTCATATATCTAAACAGAAAATTCATATCGGAATTCCACAATTAACAGAAGAGCATTTCCACCAAAGGCCTACACATGAAATTTTGAAGAAAATTTTGCTGTAGTGATTAAGCACTAAATTAATTAACAACAAATTTGTAAAACGGACCAACTACAGAGTCGATGAACATTAGCCCAAAAAACATCCATAAACTAAGATGATTTATTGTGAAAGAGGAGCTGCCATCACTAAAACACTGTAATTTTCTTCCTTTTCGAGTTGATTGTCTCAATGGTGAATCTATCATTCGATAATTTTCGCCTGTCTATCAACGGACTACGATATGGAAGAAAAGCAATGTAACCTGCGATTGCAACCGAATAACCACCTTTGACTTTCTCCATGATAAATCCTCTGACCTTTTTATTCGATTGCCAGATCTTTTGCAGTTCCATCCAAGCTTGATTCTGCGTGAATCTTCGTGGAAGAAGAATCGCCGGCTCACCAGCTACTGCATCAGTAGAGCCAGCCATCTCATTAAACCTAGCCGTAGCTCGCTCTTTCATCACCGGTTCACCGGCGACGAGATCCATGAAGAATCTCTCCAAGATCTGTGTTTTGATTAGAGATTCGCCAGCCGTTGCCTCCATGAATCCAACCTTATTCTCGAACCTGGCTGCCGAATGACTCCCCGGAACTCCTCTAAGCTCGTCTCTCATGGTCATTTTCGGGGTTCCAATTCCTGCATCTACCAGGAACATGTCGTCCTTGAATCGTGAAACTTCAGATTTTAGGGCCTTACCACTGGATAGAAGAAAACTTGAATTCGATTTGCGAAACAATCTATTCATGTAGATCGTCATCTTGAGTAGTTGCTTCGTTTTCCTCCGATGATCGTGAAATCGATCGAAGAGACCGAATACAGGTAAAAGTTGGAGATAGGGTTTTTACTCGCCAAACGTGAACAGGGAAAGCCTGTAATCAAACATATTGGACTTGGGCCTAAACCGGAGAACTTTTTATCTATATAATAGACAAAATTGCAAAAATGGTCCCTGTGGTTTGCATTTTTTCAGGAAAAAAGTCCAAACCACGAGTTTTTTGGTTTTGTGGTTCTTTTGGACTGGTTTGTTTGTGAGAATGGTCCCTATACTTAACACCCGTTAAATTCCATCCGTTAACCCCCTCATGTGCCTTGCACGTGAGGGTATTTCTGTCATTTTACTTACAGTGTCAACACTTCCTTCTACCTTTTATCCCTCATTTACAATCCCAAACACCCGTCAACTCCCCACCTCCCTCCTTCTTCCTTCTGCTCCATTAAACCTGCAAAAAAAAAAAAAAAGTCGTTATCGAAAGAACCTAATCGAAGCAAAAGGAGACAAGGTCATACTTTAAAGTCGAAATGGTGTACGTAATGTGGTAGATCAGACCAAAAAATGAAGTTGTCGACGTATCATCCTTATATGGTAAGTTGCTCTGTTTTCTTAAACATTCCTATTTTTCATTTTACCCTTGATTTATACTAAAATCCGCCAAATTTTGACTTTGTTATCATGTACAATTTTGACTTGTAGCGGGTGCACCCACATGGTTTAGTATTAAGCTTCATCATGGTGGGAAGTTTACTAAGTTACCTGACATAAAGTATACTGGAGGTGAAGTGCGTTATGTTGATTATGTGGATATAGATGAGTTTTCTGTACATGAACTTGATGCCATAATGCTTGACCTAGGTTACCCAGACCCACGGATGATTGAATTGAGTGTTGAATCCCCAGTGATATACTACCATTTCAGGATACCCAATGGTGACTTTCAATTTGGTCTTAGAGCTTTAGGGAATGATCAGGATGTTATCAATCTTTCTAAATTTATTCAAAATAACAAGTTGATTGAAGTGTACACAGAACATGGGAAGACAAATCTACTCACATACTTCATGTCTCCAAATGCAAAGGGTAAAGTTGTCATTGAGGAATTACCAGAAAATGATGATCAAGGGGCTAAATATGAGGCTGAAGTTCATGTAGAATCTCCATTGAGAAATATGAACCATGTCAATGATGAACCAATTGGTGAGTACATGTCTTTGATTCTTTTTGGGAGTAAAACTGATGCATTCTCTCCAGAGTATAGAAGGGGTAGAGTTGGGAATTCAAAAAGAGAGGAAGGTTCTTGTAGCAAGAGGCTTAATTTAGAGGATATTGATGATTTAAAAGAGAAGGAAAACACTAATGAGGGTGTTAAGGAGATTCATGAGGCTGCAACTGTTGTTGAAGGATGCTACAATCCATTTACTTCAAATATTGCTAATGTAGGGGATGAGATGATTGGGGTTCATGATAATGACCATATTGATAGATGCTACAACACCCCACCCATTAATGATGATGAACAATATAATGAACTTTTTGACAACCTTATGGAAAATTTAAATGGAAGTGATGAGTATGTTGAAGAGTATGAAGGGGATGTTGAATCTGAAGAGAGTGATGAAGAGTATGAAAAGGATGAAGGTGATGATCATGATGGGAAACAATCAGAAAATGAAGATAAAGTGGATGACATAATGGATGAGGAGAACAATATAGAAGATGTTGATGTGGACATGGCAGACTTCTTTTTAAATGTTGAAAGTGATGTTAAAGGAGCATGTATTAATGATGGTCATGAACCTGAAGATATGGAAGTGATCAACAATGAGGAGTTCGAATCATTGGATGAAGGATCAGACCAAGACAGAGAAAGAAGAGCTCTCATAAGAAATTTGGGAAAAGAAAAAAGGTGCAACCTTGGGTCAGTACATATACAGTCATTCTCAGTGGGGCAAAAGTTTAAAAGTAAAAAAGAATTAAAGGAGTTAATTGATGTGCATGCACTAGAAACAAGAAGGAATCTATTCTTTAAAAAAAATGACAGTCAAAGGCTTAGGGCACAGTGCAGAGGAGTTGTACCTGTCATCAATAAAGGTCAAGTGGGGACTAAACCTACCACTTCAAAAAGCAAGGGCAAAGAAGTAAAGACACAAAAAGAAACATGTGGTTGGTATAAACATGCATCTAGGTCAAACCCCGAATCTGATTGGTTTATAAGGACCTTAAACCAAACTCATACATGCTTACAAACAAGAAAACTCAGAGCTTGTACTGCTTCTTTAATCTGCAAGAAAATCATAGATCAAGTTGAGGCAGATCCGAAGATTCCTTTGAGAGCCATACAAGATCACTTTCAAAAGACCTACCAGGTGGGTATTTCAATGGATAAGGTGTTTAGGGCAAAAGATATGGCAAGAAAGCATGTAACTGGGGACTACACAAAACAGTTTGAGTTGTTGAGGGACTATGCTCTTGAACTTCAAGCTACAAACCCAGACACAACAGTCAAAATAGATGTGTGTCCGAATGGCAACCCTGCATCCCTAACAAGGCAGTTTAGAAGGATTTATGTATGCTTGGGTCCACTGAAAAAAGGTTTCAAAGCATGTCTTAGAGACTTAGTAGGTTTGGATGGTGCCTTCATGAAAGGCCATTCCCTGGTCAGGTTCTTACAGCAGTTGGTCTAGATTCCAACAATGGAATTTATCCCTTAGCCTATGCAATTGTTGAGTCTGAAAACACAGCTAGCTGGAAGTGGTTTTTAGAAAACCTTGGGGATGACTTGGAGCTTGGGAGCAACTCAAACTATACTTTCATAAGTGACAGGCAAAAGGTAAATTAAAACTCATCAATTGATCATTTAGATTGTGTTTTTTTACCAAAAATTAATTCTAATTATTGTATGTTGAGTCATGTAGGGATTACAAATTGCAGTTGATCAATTGTTTCCCAATGCTGAGCATAGGTATTGTATTAGACATATTCATGACAATATGAGAAAGAAGTGGGGGCAAACTGAGTACAGGGACCATTTATGGAGGTGTGCATCAGCAACCACCATTCCTGAGTTTGAACATTTGATGAAAGAGTTTAGTGAGTATGATAAGGAGGCATGTCAATGGTTGAAGCAAATTCCTCCTGTACATTGGGCAAGGAGTCATTTCTCAGGTAATTGTATATGTTTGCATATGGTAAAGATTATGTGTTTCAGTTATTTATCAGCATTAATTGTATGTTATTGTAATGTGCAGGAAGAGCTGTTTCTGATGTGTTGATTTCAAACATGTGTGAAGTGTTTAATGGGAAGATAGAGAAAGGCAGGGACAAACCTGTAATTTCATGTTTAGAGTTCATTAGGGAGTATCTAATGAAGAGGATATGCAATGTCATGAAGGCAATGAAGAAGGCTAAAGGTCCACTAACACCTACAGCAACAGACATCCTAGATGCAAGGAAAAAAGGTGCTTCACAATATATTGCTAGGTGGAATGGGGCAAACAAGTATCAAGTCACTGCAGCATTGCAAGATCAACATGTGGTGGATGTTAGGAACCAAACCTGTACTTGCAGAAAGTGGGAATTAATGGGAATACCTTGCAGGCATGCAATTGCAACTCTGAATGAAATGAGCAAAGACCCTGAGGCTGAGCTTGACATTTACAAGTGGGTACACAAGGTGTATTGGCTAGAGACATGGCAAAAAGCTTATTCATTTAAGGTGGAACCAATTAAAGGGAGACCCATGTGGCCTAAAAGTAATTGTCCAACAAAGCTAATCCCTCCTCCACATCACACTCAGGTGGGAAGGCCTAAGAAAAAAAGAAGACAAGTGAGGGTGAAAGGTTAAGCAAAAGGCAGAAGGCAAGTGAAGGTGATGGAGTCAATGAGATGCAAGGAGAAAATTCCCAAGGGCCAAGAAATGATGGAGTGCAGAAGCTATCAAGGAAACATGTTAGTGTTACTTGTAGCAAATGCAAGAATAAAGGACACAACTCTAGGACCTGTAAAGGGCAAGGAGGGAATCAATCTAAGAAGTGATTGTGGTTATTTGTTGTGGTGCAATGACTATTTAGTTTCTTGTTGTTAAAAACTGTTTGTTTTTGAAAACTTTAGTTATGGTTTGATGATGTGGTTATGTATGGTGCACAGACACTTGTATGCTTAACTTGGTAATGGTTTTTGGTTCCACTCATGTGGTTAATGGAATGTTCATTTTGGTAAATTTATGACATGTATTTTGGTAATGTACTTTTGTTACATTTTGGTTCTATTTATGTGCTTATATCTGACAACTGATACACATTTTGAACACAACTGATACACATTTTGGAATTCATTACAAACATGATGAAGTCAAATTACAACAAAATTATACCATTTTTACCCTGCATCACTTGATCAACAAAAATCCCCACATTTGCCTAACCCTATCCCTTACATAGACCAAGTACTAAAGATAACAATCACAAACATAAACCAACTTGCACATAAATACATCTTCAGCTTGAAACCTTCATCCTTCAATGCATCACACCTTGCCTCCAACATGTTGTTCCTGCTCAAAAGTCCATTGCACTGTTCCTGTAACATGTTGATACTTCTTACCAGCCCATTACATCTTTCCTCCAATGTATTTATGTTTCTTAGAAGACCAGGTATGATGGTTTTACTCCTAGCACAAATAGGTGGGTCAACCCACCCGATAAACCCACAAACAGAATCCTTAGTAGGGCAAGCATAAAACCTCCTGCCGGGATTCAGTGGTGTCCAAGACGTTTTCACCAAAGCAAGCTTTCCACAAAAACAAACCACCATTGTTCGATTGCAAGTCAGGAAAGGAGAAATGGAAGATAATAGTCGTTGGGGAAGAACAGTTAAGAACGTTGGGGAAGAAGATTTGTTGGGGAAGAAGCTGGGAAAAGAAAACGATATATAAAGGATGTTTTATTTTTCCATATGCAAAAATGGTCCCTATAAGTAAAAGGACAGAAATACCCTCACGTGCAAGGCACATGAGGGGGTTAACGGATGGAATTTAACGGGTGTTAAGTATAGGGACCATTCTCACAAACAAACCAGTCCAAAAGGACCACAAAACCAAAAAACTCGTGGTTTGGACTTTTTTCCTGAAAAAATGCAAACCACAGGGACCATTTTTGCAATTTTGTCTATATAATATAATCACATTTTTATAATTTTATCATTTTGCCACTAATTGGCGAGATTATTTTTTAATAATATTTAATTGTCGATTTGAGACTATAATCTAGATGTTATAACCTGCACCTTAGCTATTTCAACTAGATTTTATTACTTAGACATATTTATCTTATCAAGTTGTGAATATTGAATTTTGTGAGTTTATTCATGATTTTTCTTAAAAAATGTTTTTTTTTCCATTATTATAAAATATATACAATTACAACTTCTCATATTGAGGGAGATGTACTATAGCTAAAAGTCCATCTCCTAAAGCACAATGTACAAGTATTATAATAAATAAAATACAACTTTAATCACTCAATTTTGTATAATCTATTACTTGCAACCTTTTTATTTTATAAAATTATATTTTTGTTCACTTTAGTTTTAAAAATATAACTTTCACCTTTTTACCTTCAACTTTTGTAAAAAGTAATTTTTTCCCGTCTATTTTGTAAAATGATATTTTTCATTCCTTTACTTTTTAAAATATCACTTTCACCCCTTCCACCTTCAATTTTATAAATTATCACTTTTACCCATTTGTTTTCTAAACTTTCATGTTTATATACCCTCCACCTTCAACTTTATAAAATATCACTTTTACCCATTTGTTTGCTAGACTTTTGTGTTTATTTCACTTTCACCCCCTCCACCTTCAACTTTGTAAAACATCACTTTTACTCTTTCGTTTTCTATACTTTGTGTGACATCTCCAAAATCTTGGCCAGAAAAGACCGATTTTCATTTATGCTTTTAAAATAATTTAAGAGTAAATCCTTTTGATTTGAAAGAGTTGCGTAATTTGTTCCCGAAAACAAAACGTGATAAAATAATATTTACCAAAGCATTTCATAAAAGATATATATTTTCATTATATAATCAAAACTCGGGATGTCACGTTCTGATACAGACCATAAAGCATAAACGATAACATTACAAGTCATTCAACAAATATATACATATACAGACTTGTAAACAAAACAACTTGATGATTCATCTATCTTATGCCTTTGCGCCACTTCCTGTAATACAAATAAAACTGAGTGGGTCAGACTTGGGAGCCTGGTGAGCATATAGGGTTTCAACCCACAATAAATAATTATATTTAATTCCACCAACCACAATAACCCAATTACCCATTCCCGTTATTCTCACTTTACGTCCCTAAAACAACTAACACAAGGGACCTAGTCTTAGAATATTTCATCGGGGCGACAACACATGCATTCGGGGGTTTCCCGGCAATATATGTCAAATAAGGCAACCATGAGGGGGATGGAGTACAGCGAACGAACACCCAAGTTCATTAACACCTACAGGTGGCGAACCTGCTAGCGTTCCATAGGACTGTCTGGAAAAGTCTATGGTCATCATCTAAACTCCGCTAGATGACTGAATCAAAAACAACATCGAAGCCTCTCATTTGTTTATCACACAACTATCTACCCATGTTCTACCAGACATATTAGTAGATAAAAATATATATTTTTATACATAGTTTAAAACCTGTATAGCATTCTCATTCAATACATATTCCAAACAACAGATGAGACACATACACATAACACGTATTTCATAGAGAATAAATCATATCTATGAGATAGAAGAAAGTGAATATACATTCACGCATATAACACAAAATATACATACAACACGTATTTCATATAAAATACTTCATAATTATGCGTTAGAAGAAGGTAACCACACACTCACTTGATCAGAAGATGATTGGACAGCACTACGGCTTATAGAAGTAGTATTCTTCGGCAGATCTTCACAAAAACCAGACTCCTCGCAGGCAGAGCTTCGGCTAGGGAATTGCACTTCTCGGGATCTTCAGGGCCTCGGGACTTGCTTCGGGGCTCGGGAATGATATCGGGGCTTCGGGATAATTTTTGCACGAAAAACGATGCAAAAACGCGAGAGAAAGGGAAGAAATGAGCAAAAGAATCGGCTGCCCTCGACATCCTTTTATAGGGGGCTAGAACTTCGATTTACGCTGGGCGTAAATTGAAATTACACTGGGCGTAATGAGGATAGGGTCGTTGACTCCCCCCCTGGATAATATCGGTATTTTATATTTAAATTACATATCGAAAATATTTAATAAACTTCAAAAATTCATATCTTCCTCATACGAATTCCGTTTTCGGCGTTCTTTATATCCACGCGTAGGTAAGACTATGCTCTACAACTTTCGTTTAGATTCCGTCGGTTAATTTTGATTTATTTTTATTATTTATTTTTAGTAGGTCGGGACAGGAAAACTCCGTTATAAACTCATAACTTCTTCATCCGGTGTCTGTTTTCGCCTATCTTTTTATCGTTTTACTATAATTAACAAGATCTTCGATTATCGTTTAGATTGTTTTGGCTAAAAACCGCTCGGTCTCAAATCGAATATTCGGGCTGCATACTAAGTCGAAACTTCGAAAAATCATAACTTCCTCATACGAAGTCAGATTTGGGCGTTCTTTTTATGCAAACTCTCGGTTTAACGAACTCTATGACTTTCAATTAGGTCAATAAGGCTAAATATCTCTCTAACGTAAATTTCACTTTTTACGTCATTCAGCGTTGCTGGTTCTGTCGCGAAACTTCAACAGGTCATAACTTCTTTGTTATAACTCAAATTTCGACATTCTTTATATCTTCGGAATCCTTGTTTCGACCACTACATCTTTAAGCAAAGATATCGGGCTTATCTCATACTTTAATTTTGACGCTTATTTATTCTTAATTCATTAAATTATAATAATTAAGAAATTAAACACATAATTCACAAAATACTCAAATATTTCATCATTAATACTCCAAAAAGAGTTACAAGGGTTAACCTAGACTATTACATCAATGATAATGCCTAACCTGAAAACGCGGGCGTTACACTTTGTAAAATACATTTTTTTCACCCCTCTATTTTTTAAATGTTATATTGACCCCTCAACTTTCAACCTTATAAAATATCACTTTTGGGCCTTCATTTTCTAGACTTTCATGTTTATTTCACTTTCACCCCCTCCACCTTCAATTTTGTAAAATATCACTTTTACCCTTTTATTTTCTAAACTTTGTAAAATACATTTTTTTCACCCTTCTATTTTTTAAATGTTACTTTGACCCCTCAACTTTAAACACTATAAAATATCACTATTTAATTAATTCTCATTCCTAATACGCAACAAAAATACATAAAAACCCGCGGAAAACACAGACTCACTTACTAGTTTTGTATATTCGCCAATTTTACACAACACTCGGAATTAGAGTATGTTTGCTAATTCATGGCTAAATTTAGTGACCCTTCTTTTGTTGGAAAAATTACCTTTTGTGTCAGTAAAAGTACCTCACAAAATACACAAACCTTTTTTTAGTGATTTACATGGTTATTTTGTGGGGTTATTGTCATTGTAGCCCAATAATGTTTCGTATTTTGGTTTAAATGATCATTCGTAATTTTTTTCCTTTGAAGGGTACGAATTTATGTTTTTAAGATTTAAAAAGTCATTTTGAAAAAATTGAAGGGGTCGTCCGATGAACCCTCCGTAGTCAGCAGGTTTAATATGCAAAGTCAGTTATTAAACTCCCACCTCAATTACCACCACGTTACTGGACTTGACAATAACCCTAAATCCAATAACGATGGCCATGAAATCAACGAAGTCTGCTTATCGTTTAGAGAAAACCAATAATCACGTATGAATTGCATCACAAGAAATCAGATGTTCAAATCAAAAAAATAGCAGCGGTGTCTCTTCTGATTTCAATCAATTTTCTTCTGGTTCTTCACTTTGTTCTTCATCTTCTTTGTTATCGAGAGAGCCGCCTGATCATGTACATCAAATCATGATCATCGACGTTTCTTCACTCTGTTCCCTATCTTCTGATTTTAACCAGCCCTAATCTTGAACATTAAATTTGATCGACGGCGGTGATTTTGATTGCGAGTCAGTTGTCGGACCGAATCCTAGATCAACAACTCGCAAATGGGTTAGGGAATGCTCGTCAAAATTACCAACATTCTCTCTA